AGGGGATCATGAGGGGGTTTTGGGGGGGTTCTGAGGGGATCGTGAGGGGGTTTGGGTGTTTTGAGGGGTTTTGAAGGGATCGTGAGGGGGTTTGGGGGTTTTGAGGGGATCGCGAGGGAGTTTGGGGGTTCTGGGAATCGTGAGGGGATCCTGAGGGGATGACGGGGTTTTGGTGGGTTTTGAGGGGATCGTGAGGGGATGAGGGGGTTTTGGGGGGGTTTTAGGAGATGCTGAGGGGATCGTGAGGGGTCGTGAGGAGTTTTGGGGGTGCTGAGGGGATCGTGAGGGGATGAGGGGGTTCTGAGGGGATCTTGAGGGTGTTTGGGGGTTCTGAGGGGATCGTGAGGGAATTTGGGGAGAATTGAAGTAATTTGGGGAGATTTGAGGGAATTTGGGGGGTCCTGAGGGATTTTAGGGGTGGTCCTGATGGGATCGTGAGGGATTTTGGGAGAGCCTGAGGAGATTCGGGTGTCGTGGGGGAAGTTCAGCATCCCAAGAGCGAAGCCTGGAACATCCCGTTAAATTTTAGGAGCCATTCAGGGTTGTTTGAGGGGGTCCTTGTGGGCTTTTGGGGTTTCTTTGGGATTTGGGGGGGGTTCCCTGTGTGAGTTTTGGGGGTTATTTTGATATTTTCGGGGGCGTTTTGGGTTATTTTGGTGGGGAAGATTTGCGATTCCCCTACGAGCTTTCAGCGCCAATTCCCCTCCTTTTAACCCCAAATTTTTCTCCTCCAGCTCCGTTCCCCCTCCTCCAACCATGGGGGTCCCCGGGGCTCTGCCGGCGTTGATTTTGGGGTTTTTGGGGGTTTTTTGGGGGGTCCCGGCGGGGGCCGGGGACTGCAAAGGGCAGCGCCGGGTGCTGAGGGGACCCCGCGGCTTCGTCACCGACGGCCCCGGAAACTACTCGGTCAACGGCAACTGCGAGTGGCTCATCGAGGGTGAGGAACCCCGAAAACCCCAAAATCCACCCCAAAATCGGGTTCGGCGTCCCCGGAAACCCTAAAATCGCCCCCCAAATCCCCCAAAGCTGCTCCACCCTCCCTGAAGGGAGTGGCTCGTGGAAAAGGGGGAGCGGCCTCAAAAAGAAAAAAACCACCCCCAAAATCGGCTCCGAGACACCAAAAAGCTGTGATTTCACCCCAAATTCGGGCTCGGCACCCCCAAAATACCCCCAAAACCCTACACGTTTTTTGTGGTTTTTGTCTGGGATTTTTAAGCGATTTTTTTTGTTTTGTTTTTTTAAAGTGATTTTTTTGGGGGGGATTTTTGGTTATTTTTTAAAACAATTTTTTGGGGGGGATTTGTATAGAATTTTGTTTTTAATTTTCAATTTTAAAATTTTTTTAATTTTAAATTTTTAATTTTAAATTTAATTTTTTAATTTAAAATTTAAATTTAAATTTTTTTAAAATTGCTTTTAATAGGATTTTTTTTTTTTGGGGGGGAAGATTTTGGGGTTTTTTGGAGTTTTTAGGACTTTTCAACAAAGTTGAAATCACTGCATGGGATTTTTTGGGGATTTTGGGGGATTTTCTGGATTTTTGTGGATTTTTGTGGATTTTTGGGGTTTTTTTGGGATTTGGTTGGGGGGGATTTTGGTTTTTTGGGTATTTTTGGGGATTTTGGGGGTTTTTTAGGGATTTTTGTGGATTTTTTGTGGATTTTTTGGGATTTTTGGGGGATTTTTGGGGATTTTTGGGGATTTGGATGGGGGAGATTTTTGGGGATTTGAGGAGCGGGATTTTTTGGGATTTTTTGTGGATTTTTGTGGATTTTTGGGGATTTCTGGAGCGGGATTTTTGTGGATTTTTGGGGTTTTTTTGGGCTTTGGTTGGGGGGGATTTTGGTTTTTTGGGGATTTTTGGGGATTTGGATGGGGGAGATTTTTGGGGATTTGAGGAGCGGGATTTTTTGGGATTTTTTTTTTGGATTTTTTTGGGATTTTTGTGGATTTTTGGGTATTTGACAAGCGGATTTTTGTGGATTTTTGGGGATTTTTGTGGATTTTTGTGGATTTTTGGGGATTTCTGGAGCGGGATTTTTGTGGATTTTTGGGGTTTTTTGGGGATTTGGTTGGGGGGATTTTTTTGGTTTTTTGGGGATTTTTGGGGATTTTGGGGGCTTTTTAGGGATTTTTGGGGATTTTTTGGGATTTTTTTGGGATTTTTGGGGGATTTTTGGGGATTTTTGGGGATTTGAGAAGTAGGAATTTTGGGAATTTGGGTAGGGGGATTTTTGGGGATTTTTGGGGATTTTTGGGGATTTTTTGGGATTTGGGTGGGGGGATTTTTTGGGGGATTTTTTTTGGACTTTTGTGGATTTTTGGGAATTTTTGGGGATTTGAGGAGCGGTTTTTTTGGGGATTTTTTGTGGATTTTTGTGGAGTTTTGTGGATTTCTGGAGTAGGATTTTTGTGGATTTTTGTGGATTTTTAGGGATTTTTGGGGATTTGGAGGGGGGGAATTTTTGGGGGATTTTTTTTGGATTTTTGGGGATTTGGATGGGGGGTATTTTTGTGGATTTTTGGGTATTTGAGGAGCGGGATTTTTGGGGATTTTTGGGGATTTGAGGATTTGGATTTTTGGGTATTTTTGTGGATTTGAGGAGTGGATTTTTTTGGATTTTTTGTGAATTTTTGGGTATTTGAGGAGCGGATTTTTGGGGATTTGAGGAGTGGGATTTTTGGTGATTTTTGGGGATTTTTGGGTATTTTTGGCTATTTGAGGAGCGGGTTTTTTTGGGGATTTTTTGGGTATTTTTGGCTATTTGAGGAGCAGATTTTTTTGGGATTTGTGTGTTTTTTGGGCTTTGATGAGGGGCTGATTTTTGGGTTTTTTTGGCTATTTGAGGAGCGGATTTTTGTGGATTTTAGGGTACTTCTGGGTATTTGGTGAGCAGATTTTTTGGGATTTTTTTGTGGATTTTTTGGGTATTTCTGGGTATTTGGTGAGCAAATTTTTTGGGATATTTTTGTGGATTTTAGGGTATTTTTGGGGATTTGAGGAGCGGGATTTTTGGGATTTTTTTGGATTTTTTGTGGATTTTTTGGTATTTGAGGAGTGGATTTTTTTTTGATTTTTGGGGGTTTTTTTGGTATTTCTGGGTATTTGAGGAGCGGATTTTTTGGGGGATTTTTTTGTGGATTTTTGGCTATTTGAGGAGCGGAATTTTTTGGGACTTTTTGTGGATTTCTGGCTATTTGAGGAGCAGATTTTTTTGGGATTTGTGTATTTTTTGGGCTTTGATGCGGGGCTGATTTCTGGGTATTTTTGGCTATTTGAGGAGTGGATTTTCTTGGTTTTTTTGTGGGTTTTTGGGTATTTGGTGAGCAGGATTTTTTTTTGATTTTTTGTGGATTTTTGGCTATTTGAGGAGTGGATTTTCTTGGTTTTTTTGTGGGTTTTTGGGTATTTGGTGAGCAGGATTTTTTTTTGATTTTTTGTGGATTTTTGTGGATCTTTTGGGATTTGAGGAGCGGGATTTTTGGGGATTTTTTGGGATTTTGATGGGGGGATTTTTGGGATTTTTTGTGGATTTGAGGAGTGTGATTTTTG